GTAATGAGGGTGTTGGTTCCGTTTCGCCTGACAATGAATTGGGAATTGGGTTGCCTGAACCTAAGTCGGTATATTTATTTATTTATTCTGGTTTGGAATCGAATCCGGTATAGTTAAGGGTAAATAATGTGATGGAACAGTATTTTGAGTTAAACTCACCGTTCCCCGTTCATTCTCAGAATCATGGAAAGTCGAGTTTAAACTTAATTGGGGATCGCAAGTCGGGATTACCGTATTCGGTGAACACATCCGAAGCTCACGAATCTTGATTGAAATTTTCCGACCAGATCTTCTTGGCATGGAGCCGATTCGGGTTTTAACTTTAACCGAGCGGTTCGATAATAATGATGTATCATTTGATGAAGGCGACCCTGAGGTGTTAACACCTCATTTGCATTCAATTCTCGATATGCTCTCTCACATATTTCCAACTCATTCATTTGGTGTATGGCATGGGATTTTATCAACCATGGTTGGCCAAGGTAAGCAGATATTTTAGCACTGAGAGCGGCTATTTCGGTGTCGGTCCACTGAACTGGTGCTGGATATAGGTTATATATCTCATCTTCGATCTGTCGCTGTTCCTCTGTCAAATAGGTTGCATCGAGAATGCGAAACAATTCCATGTTGAAAGACTCAAATACAAAATTGTAAACTCAAATTATAAAAAATTCTACCACACTGAGGCAAAAACCGCGTTGTAAAAATGAAATTTTTTTATTTGATTACCGTTTAAAAATGTTCGTATTTAAATCAAGTGAAAAGTGTTCAAAATTGAATATTTTCGTGTGTTTAATTTGGGCCAAGTTCCTATCTAGTTGTTTGCTGGGTTAGAGCTGTTTCGGCCGTTGAGTTAAAAGCGAAATAAAATTTCCTTTGTACTCCTACGCGTTTCGACGCATTTCGCGCCTTCCTCAGGGAGTCTGTTTTTTATTAGAACGACAAACAATATTTTCATTATACATACACTACGTATAATGGAAATATTCAATTCAAATACGCCCGTATTAAAATGAAGCATTTTTCACTGCACGGATGGCGTTTTGCACGTCTCGGATGCTTTTTCATATGTAATTAAGAAAGTATATGTATACAAAGCATCCCTGAAGGAAAGATTGGTCCAATTGCTCGAAAAATATAGTCGTAGGTATAGTAGAGTATCTAGAGCAAAGATAGTCCAAAAATATAAAGCAATGTAATAAAAAACAATTGTATTGAATTGTACTAAAAGTGGTCCGAATGTAAGGCATAAGGTATGAGTTTTGATCTAAAACTGGTTACAATGTCATACAGTAGCGGACAACGGGTACAATTAACGACTTGCTGATATGTGGGCACTTAGTCAACAAATTTTCATGTGCGACATTGGCATGCAGAGAGTATCCGCTTAGAAAATCGGAGAACCCCGCTTCGAATCGCAGCTGGCGCAAATTTTATTTTTGTTTGAAAACACATTTACATGTATGGCTGTAGCTGAGTGTGCAAAGACACTTGATACAATGGGTTGCTGCAAAGAGGGTCCGGGTTCAATTACCATCACACGGAACATAAAATTATTTTTTTTCTTCTTAATTACGAAAAAGCATCTGTGCACTTCACAACGACATATTTTATAATGTACATACTCAAATTTAAAACGAGTTGAGTTTGTGCCCTTTCGTATGCGTATTTCTTTAAATTTAGCACGTTTTTTTTTTATTCTATAATTTTTACCCCTCAGCGCAACGGAAGATGTAAAGTCCGTACTATTAACTTGATATGATGTTTCAAATTTTATTGGGAATGAATACACAAAAAACATTACCAAAAAAATAAGGAAAAATTAAAAGTTTGGTTCAATTAATACTGACCGTGTTACGTTACGTTGCTTAAACTTATACCGAAAGACGAAAAGAAAAAATGATCGGTTCAAAAATCTTGACCGTCGATATGTGGGGTTACTTGATTAAAAAAGAATTGGCGAACTGAACCGAACGAGAATGGTTATGACGGCTGATCAATGTGTTCGCATCGCAAATCGATCACGATTTTTTTTTTTTGTTTTGTTAAAATACAGATAAAATTTTATTTATTTAACTAATATTCAAACTACTAACTACTAAAGTATTGAAGTAAAGAAATAAATTACTAGAGTTCACTCTTTGATGCGAAACTGTGTGCGTTTGAGCGAAAGTGCGAAAATCGGCAGTTTTTTACAACAAACATATGGCCCCGTTATGGCGTCGTTTCGTACAAACGCACAGCAAAGCAACAAAACAAACGCTAACTTTTGCCTTTCGCATCAAAGAGTGAACTGGCTTATTGTTTTGTTTTGCTTAATATTGCCCCACTGGATTTTTATATGCGGTTTTTTTTAATTTTTATATGGAGTATCTAAATTTATGCAGTTTTTGAACTTTTTATTGCGGCATATTATACGCATATACCGCATAAAAAAAGACCTAAGTGTAATAAAATGTTCACGGAAACAAATTTATGTGCGATAAGCGTTTCGTTTGCGATGAAAGTGACAAATCGTCTGTCAGTCAACGGTGAGTTAATTTGGGGTAGTTCACTTTGTACAACAATTTTTTGTGTCCTTGATTGAAATATGAAAAACAAACACTTTTATATTTGCCAATAAATGTTACATTGATGTCATAACTAACTAATTAACCGAAATTAAAATTTCCGTGTGTATACCAACTTAACACTTTGTATATCGACTGCTGAGTGGAAGATCGACCTATCTCGGCAGCCAGTTCAAAAACGCCCTATCTCAAAAACTTTTTAGGAACGCCCTATTTTAAAATTTTATTGAAAAACACCCCATCTCAGAATTTCGTGGAAGAACGCCCTATCTCAGAACTCGGTTTAAAAACGTCCTATCTCACTTCAAAATGTATTGAAAATTTGCTGAGATAGGGCGTTTTTGAGTCGGCAGCTAAGATAGGACGTTTTTGAATCGAATTCTGAAATAGGGCATTTTTGAAAGGTTTTTTGAGATAGGGCGCTTTAAGCACGCATATTATTGACTTTAATATGCAACAAATTGTAAATGCCATTTTCAAATAATTTTACAATTCGTACTTCGGCTTCAATAAAACGTTTATATCCTTGTAAAAGCTAAGCAAACGGCTTTTAATAGTAGCTACACCACATGTGTGTGTACCTTCATTAATTTCAGATGGTATTCAAAAGAAGACTTCGATATTTATTGACCTCTGAATACCATGTTATATGAAAAAATGCGTTGCTAAATTTTACTGGCTTGTAGTAAAGGTTGAATTTTGACAAAAAAAAAAACAAAGTGCAAACTTTATCCTACTGTAAGAAATTGAGATAAGATGGAACATAGTTTGGGAGAGCAGTTTATTGAAATGCGAGCGTGGCTGACTTTGTAAATTCTGTTTCACATCCATGTTCACGATAACGTCTATTACCATTTTTATTACTACGAAAGAACCGAATTAACAAGAAACCGATTTGATTTAACACATATTCGTTCAAGCGTTTGTACCAGTGTCTTTATAGCGCACTCGCTGAAACCATATTCAAAAGTAAATAAAATTTGCGTTTTTTTTTTGTTCGATATTTTTTTAATAATTAATTTGCGTGGTTGACCTCCGCCTCTACGAACAATAACTTAAAATTATTTGAACATTAATTAAAATGAAAACGAGCTGTAGAAAGAAAACCAGCCGATTTTTACTTCGCAATGAACGATGCGTTTATATGTAAATACGTGTTTTCTAAAGGTGTTCTTGCACGATATGTATTTGCTCTTGGCTTTTTCAATACATATGTAATTGCGCATGTCTGTCAAATTCACAGTTTTTATTTAACTATTTAAAAATACGTTCTTTGAAAACGAAATAAACTAAACTCAGATGATTCTATCTGTGTCAGATGGAAATAGAAATATTTCTATTTCGTACGTGCATCTGTTTTGTACATAAACAAATCTTAGTTGCCTTTACCCGATATATTGACTTTTCCATATGTAAAAAGTGGCATGTACACATGCAAATACATATCGTGTAAGAACACCTTAACCGATGAGAGAAATAAAAAACCTATTTGAAAACAAATGGGAGTCAATACACTTTTGAACTTCACTGTGAACTGGGTCAAGCGCTATACAGTCAATCAATAAAGTTTAGGTACAGCGATATTTTTGCAAAACGGGAAACTGTTTTTTAATTATTTTACTTTTCGCACACATAACCCCAAAAATCAGAGCTCCAAACCTTGTGCAAAATTAAAGAAAATTCTGCAAATTTTCATTAAAATTTTGTACTTTTTAAATACACACTTCTCCAAATTTTCATTAAAATTTTGTACTTTTTAATTACACACTTTTGAAAAAAGCTGAGTATGCAGTTCTTTAGCCAATTTTAATCAATTTTAGTAGAATAAAGTGCAAGTCTGAGGTAGCTAGGACTTACCAAGGTATATAAAAAAAATTTCCCCTTAAAATTGGTCTTAAATGGCTTAAAAATGCAATGTGTTTTTCTACTAACTTTCAAGAAAAAATCGTATTTAATAACCTCTATCTGCACTTTTTACAAAAATGAGATTCTGATATAAAAATCCACCTAAGTCTTAACTGTCATCGGTGATATTAATGCTGGCCTTGTATAGCGCTTGACAGAAGAATTTACTATTTAATTGCAAAGTCAGAATTAAAATCTGTGATGACAGGTAAGTCCCAAATGGGTTCTAACATCACAAAGTAGTTCTTGTAAAAGTTGCATATAGAGAGTATTGAATATAAGCCCTCGATATGTAGTATGTACGACCTTTTCCTCAATTCTGTCAAAATCCGACTTTAGCGATTATTCTTTCAGCACAGTTGTGTATTTGTACGTAAAAGTAAGTATGGTTTGAGACATGCAAATGAAGATATCGTCCAAATTTTTTAATAATGGTAAGTATAAAAATGTAAGCAAACTAAAGTCATAAATAATACCAACATTCATTACTACATTATAGTTACAATACAATGAGCTAAAATCAACCTGCTTCATGAGTGGCCAATGAATCCTTTGATCCACTTACATCAGCTGCTTAATGAGGGCATGAAAAATAATCAGAGTATTAAATTTGCACTTCTTTAAAATAAATAAAATAGATTACATGTTATTTCTTCCAAACTAGACTCGGAAGCCGATACGAATTGACTCTTATATGTGCACGTTATCAGTTGATGATCAGGTGGAGCAGGCTCTGGAGGAGTTGTTGGAGGTGGGAAAATCTGAAACCCTTAATAGCAATTTAATAGTTTACTAAATTTTCTGCATTACTTTTTAATGTGATAAGATAAAAAGTTTACATTAATATATATAAACAAGATTTAAACAGAAAAAAACAAATGAATGAAATTTAATCAACTTAACCTTAACTTAGTAAAAAAATAGCCACAAATCACATAACAAGTAATCACAATTCTCTCGTTGTATCTGAGAAAGCCATCAAATCTAAACTCCTAATCCGCCTAATCTGCATTTAGTAAAGAAACCCCGTTTCTCGGTGGTATTTTAACGTTTTGGCTCATAATTTCAACATTTCTGAACCAATTTTCAGTAATATAACATAAATGTGCAATAGGGTGGTCCAATTTTTATTTTTATTTTCGGCACTTCCAGAACTCAAGAATATCGAAAGTAAGTAAAATCGCATTGTGCCACCTGAGCTTTGAAGTTTACCCATCTACATATTTTACTATTTGAAGAAAATTCATGTTTCGTAGAATCCCTATAAAAGCGTTAAGCTGCCTTTACATGAGGCGATTTTTGACAGGCGATAATCGCCTGCAAAAGTTGACTTGCTGTCTACTTTGAGGCAAACGATTTTTGAATCGCCATTTACACGAGCGATTTTTCCAGAGCAATGTTGAATCCCTTGGAAAATCGCTTCATGTAAAGGCAGCTTTAAACAAATATTTTTTATAGAAAAACACAAACGGCAATAACGCAAATTTGTGTTATTTCCCAATTGAATGCGAAATAATACAAATTTGCTTTATTTCATTTCTCGTTGAGCAATAAGACCGACGGTTAATCTTCACAATTGAGTCATAAAGCAAAATAGTGCACATATGTATGTAGGTAGTCACCCAGTTACATTTGACAAAAAGTAGTACATGAACAAGTTAAATGGACGGATTTGTTAGTATACAATTTTGAAAGTGCCCAGCGTCGCGCGGTCCGCGTTCGGCATTGTCTACTGTCGTGCTGAAATAAGTAAACGACGAAAATCGTCGAAAACTACGCAGTCCTGCCAACTGCTTCCGTTTTAATACACTAGTCGACTGGAAATTTTAGGCAATGACGTGAAATTTTCGATACGATTCGACTCTCGAAAAACGACTTACATTCGACACGGCTCTTGCAATGAGGGTGATTATAACCGTTTAGAAAAAAGAATAATAATAAAATTACACTAGTTCATTTCTGAAACTGCTTTTTAATGTCCAAGTAATGGCAATTATTGCGTATGGTGTTATTGCATGCACCCCACCCATGGTGGAATTATATATACCAGGTGAAGTAATATTAGAGTGAGAAGAAATATTTTGACACTGCCTTATTTGAAAACATGCCTATAAAATGTGACTATAAGACAGCCGTTTTATTACTTCACCTGTTTATTGCGCCATTCATGAGAGTAGGTAAAATTTTACATATTTTTACATCACTACTTCGTACCACATGTTCGCTTCGTCTTCGTAAACGAAATCCACATTTCGGATATGGTGAAACCAGTGATGATAATGCAGAAATTTTAACTGAAGATAAAACTCAAAACAATATTCTCTGTGTTATATGCTGCGAACAGGAACGGCAACTTTTATTTGTTCCATGCCATGGCGGAATTGAAGTAATTAATAATAATAATAGATTGGCGCTTACACATATGTTAGTGTTTGGCCGAGCTTCTCCTCCGGTTTGTGGCGTGCGCCTTGATGTTGTCACACAAAGCGGAGGGACCTACAGATTTACGCCGACTCCGAACGGCGATTGTATTTTTATGAGAAGCTGTTTTTCATGGCAGAAATACACTCGGAGGTTTGCCATTGCCAGCCGAGGGACGACCGCTGTTAAGAAAAAACCTTTTTTCTATATTTTTTGCGCTGTTGCTTTGACCAGGGTTTGAACCCAGGTGCTGCGGAGTGGAAGCGCGCACTGCTTACCACCACACCACAGCGGCCGACAAGTAATTGAAGTAATTAGAGCGAGAAAAATTGCCTTTCAAATTTGACTATAAGGCAGCCGAATGACAGAAAATAAAGCGAAAAAGCTGTTTTATTACTTCACCTGTTTATTTCACCATGGTTCCATGCAAACATTTTAAGGTTTTCCAGCAATGTTTTCAACATATTAAAAAGCATGCAGATAAAATTCATACAAAAGCGCTATGTCCAATTTGTTGGGCAGTTATTAAAGACAGACTCTTTTCCTATATTTTGTTAGACTTTTCATAAGTAAAGATATTTTGTGAATATTACTTTCTTCATATGAATTATATCACATTTTTTGTTTAATTGTATATTTGGAATAAACATAGTTCTTTTTCCTTCTGTCAGTAAACTATTTTTGTCACAAATAGCATAAATAAGCAATGGGAAATAAGGCAAAATTTGTTTTATTTCCAACTAAAATTCTCCATAAACCGTACATACATCACTTTTCGATAGCCCTGATAGTTTCTGAGAAATTAATTAATCATTCCAGATTTTTTGTTTTTTTTTTTAATGAAAAGATGGAAAAAATTCAAACTTTAACAGGAAAAATTAAAAAAAATAAGAGTTTCTGTGTAAATGTTTTGCACTTGTTCCTTTAGAAAAATTAAGCTACTAACAAAGAAAATCGATGAATAAATAAGAAAGTAATGATTGGTCAAATGAAAATGCACAAGGGTTTTTTGTATGAAATATGAGCAGAAACGAGTGTTACTCATACGCCACGTACACCTGAGTAGGTAGAGTGTTCGCATTGAAAGCAAGAGGTGTCAGAACTCATTAGTTAATTTTTTAGAAACTATCAGGGCTAGCGAAAAATGATATATATATATTAGACTGCATCACCAAAAAAAGTTGCGGTTTTTCCGCCGGGATTAAAAAATTTATTATATTTTAAGACGTCCACCAAAATATTTCGGAAAAATATTAAGATTTAAGCGAGCTGGACCGATTTGAAAATACCTCCAAAAACGGAGTTTTTTATGAATAAAAATAGTTTCTTAAAGAACTTTTTGAAAAAAGTCCCCTCAGATCACAAAGCAAATTGGGCTTAAAAATTCTGCATAAAAATATTTAAAAATCTTTTCAACGGAATCGTAATAATGCGATTTTTGATGGTGTTTTTTTACTTTTTTCAAAAAGATTGATTTACGAAAATCTTAAATAACTGGGCCAAAACTATTCTGATTTAGACTTATGGGATCTCGGTAGAAAGGTATTTTCCCACTATTTTTATTTATGTGCAAAAAAAATTCATTCGTGTCCCAATATTTTTTTTTTTTTTTTCAAATACCAACACATCTTAATTCAACTTTGAATGATATTCGTTCATCCTACCTTTCTCTTTCATCCTTTGAATGAGTTTATTAGCAAAGAAATAAAAAGGGCGAGAAAATACCTTTCCAATGATATCTCACAAATCTAAATCGGGAGAGTTTAGGCTCAGTTATTCAAGTTTTTCTTATACCAATCTTTGAAAAAAGTTAAAAACAGCATCAAAAATCTCATTATTACGATTCGTTCAAATTTTTTTTTTTTAATTTTTTAAAAATATTTTTACGCAAATTTTTTAAGCTTAAACCGTTTTGTCATTTGGGGGGATTTTTTCAAAAAAAAATCTTAAAGAAACTCTTCTTATTCTTAAAAAACTCCATCTCCATCATTCAAATCGGTCCAGCTCACTTAAATCTTAATATTTTTTCGAAATATTTTGGTGGACGTCTTAAAATGTAATAGATTTTATAACTCCAATGGAAAAACAGTACCGATTTTTTTTTGTATGGGGAGTGCTGCAGTCTAATATATATACGGTTTATGATTTTATTAGCTTTCCTTTTCCGTATCTCGTGTTACGATTATTCAATTGGTTCGTAAGATATACATAATTCAGTGAAACCACTCTTTTTTTACGCTGAATAACGGTAAATTGCATATATCTCGAAAAGTTATCCATAGAAATAAAAATTATCTCAATTTTCGGAATCACCGAGTAATTCTACATAGGAGTTGGATTGTGGCATCTATAGAACATTTTTGCTGTAAACCAGTGTAATTATTATACAAAGACGAAAAAAATTCTCTTAAAACAAGACAAAGTTTTTGATCCCAAATATTACGATAATAATTATTTTGGGTCTCTGATTGATCACAATTCGAATCAAACCTAAATGATAACAACACGCCCATTCGAACTGAAGAGGACCAAAGATCTGTTCTATATGCGTTGCCTCCGCTACGATAATAAAATTGTACTTGGTGCTACGACATACTTGTTATGCGATAGAAAATTCAACATTCACGATCATACTGCTTGGCACCAGTGTGCAAACTTAATTTTTTTTATATGCGGTGGAATTGAGAAACGATGCGGTAGATTCGAGTAACATGTGATAGATTTTAATTTATTGAACAAAGCAATATATGTACATATCTGTTCCCGTCAATTAAAGTAACCCAAGTCAAGATGGGCCATTTTCCCTTTAAAGCGATATTTTATTGGGTTCCAAAATAATATTTTAACCATTGACTAGCCATAGGTGTAATTCAAGATGCCATCTTAACAGAAACCTCATACAAATATAAATTTGTTTAAGGGAAACTTAATATTTTTTAATTCAAAGCCGAACCTTCTAAATTCACTTAAGCTACTTTAGTTGACGGGCACAGATATGTACATATGTACGTACGTAGAACTTATAATAATACTTATAAATAATAAGATTTCAAAAAGTTTTTGCTTTGACTAGCAAGTGTTTAAAATTATAACATGAACTTAAGAATTAGCCTTTTTACGAATTTATCCATTTAGAACGGCACCGCCAAACCCTACTCGGAACTAAAATCTATAACTAACAATGCTACCAGTGTTTTTTTACTTTACTCGATGTTGCTAAAAAGTTTAGTAGTTTGAACAAAAGTTACCAGACAAAAATAAACAAATTGTGCGGTATATTTCAGCCTTGTGCGGTAGATTTGGTAGATCGTCAAATTTAAAAAAATTTGCGGTAGAAGTGTAGACATT